GAAGTTATATACTAGCGAGATTTATTTTCCTTAATTCTATGGACAAACAAAACGAAAAATATTTAGAAAAATGATTAGATATTTCTAGCTTTGAGTTATGTAGCTAAGTGTTTTGCAAATAATGTCTTCTCTCGGCCTCTGGTGTATATGTAACGCGTTTGCCGTACAAACAACGACGGAACAACCAATTCCAAACACTTCATAGCGGAATTACGTGAAATTGCCTTTAGTGTATATGTAATGCGTTTGCCGTGCAAACGCGTAGTTCCGTCATGAAATGTTTGGAATTGGTTGTTTCGTCGTTGTTTGTACGGCAAACGCGTTACATATACACCAGAGGCCGAGAGAAGACATTATTTGCAAAACACTTAGCTACATAACTCAAAGCTAGAAATATCTAATCATTTTTCAAATATTTTTCGTTCACTCCATTCCGTGGAATGAGCCAGAAGAGAGAGCCAGTTGTTTTCTCGTCTGTATTTTTCGGATAATTCGACAAATGGAGGCAACATAATGCAGTGGCTTATGAATGCTTCGTTAACAGCGACAACCGCCACTTCCTTCGGTATAAACTTCCCCTCAGCGTCGCGGAAACCTTGTTTATCGATAATTATATCCATGATGCATAGAATGCACTTTCAATCTGTTTTGTATGAAGTGACGACGTTCACGTCTAAAGCAAAACTACGGCTATTTTTCGTTATGCTTTCTGGAGAAATAGAAATGAAAAGTAGATAACGGTGGGAGGAGGAGAAATTCGAATATATCCACTAAAATCAACGATAATTTGACGTGAAACATCTCTAACATGTTATCGAATTTTGCGTAAACGATACAATTAATCATTATGGTAATAGCTTTTTCAAATCGCACCTCTAATCGTAAACTTTTATGTCTGACAAGATTCCAATGTCCCGCGCAATTTGCCGATAGAGGGAGTGAAGTCAAAAAACGAAAAGCGTGAAACCTTTGGCATAATTTTCTCTGCTTATAGAATTCCTCTCATTTGAAAGAAAATGGATACCGGTTCCCGAAAAGAGAGTGTTATAGCCTCGATATAGCGCGGCTGGTCTTTTGAGAAATTTGATTGCAATGGTCTGCTCGGAATTTGCACACCATCGGCATATAACAAGAAGAAATTTATACCGTAATTTTTGAAATTAAATGGATTTAGCTTTCTGTCACCGTTAAACGCTTTGTTATCGATGAATCCGACTATTACGCGCTTCGGAAGTTACCTGAATATCGCGTTATCAATCGATTCTCCTACCACTCCGGCGTGAATCGTGAATGTTTTAACTTTGACTCACATCAGAGGATTGGCGATTGTTTTACTTAACATTCTCGCATGTTCGAGTAACACTGCAGGACTTATTTTTTCTCTTCTTATGAGCAAAACTAACATCTATAGAATACGTATTTTCGATGTTGAATTGCCTTCCATGAGACAAAACGCATCTTTCGAGCGAACGAATCTTATTCTAACTTCCACTCCGTTAATTCAAAATTTATCCTGATTAAAGACTTCGCAATAAAGATGGCCTATTAGATCTAGCGAATGTTCCTTGGATATATCGCGCGTGTCTCATGAGAGCTTAATTGGGGTTGTCCAATTCTAATAGCGCGTCCATATAACCGAGTTCGTCTATATCCCATAAACAAGAAGTTAGATGGGAAGTTTTTGTCGATGAAGAATAATTTAACAATGTTTCGATGTGCGCGGTACGCGTAAGCATTGTTTGGGGGTGATATGAATTTTTGATTGAAGTACACGTCGATCTGATTAAACATCGAATGTGATAGGATTTACAGGGCCTATTTTATTTCCTCCTCCTGCCGATGTTCCAGAACCGGGTAAACTTTCCACTCGTACGCGAATACTTAGCATGGTAGTGGCATGCATGAGATCTAGATAATCTTCGCCATGTTCGGGTACAATGAATTCTATAGGTCGTCCGCGAGCGAGGTTATCGGTTTGTAATAAACCCATTGTGAACTCTCGATACTGATTTGAGTATGAGGTAAACTGAAAAGGTCGAGCTCGCTCTTTAAACACTCGCTCGAGTAAGTATGAAGAAAGGATATATCTCTCAAATTTACGAATCGCACTCACGTCGGTTAAGCGAATATATCAGATACGGTGCGCTTTTTTCCGCTATTTCGTCGATGTTTCATTGTCTTTTTATTTTTCCCGTTTTCCTCCTGATGATTTTTTTTTAATCGTTTTTTTCACGTCGATTTTCGATGATTTCTTTTTTTTATCGACTTATCTGTGTTTATGAACCGTGCTTCTCCCGGATTTATTGGTGCGTGCGTCGTCCGAAGGGAAACTGAGCCACTCGTATTTCCGCGGATGTTTTATATCTCGATCCCTTCATCAAGTTACTTATATTTTCTTTGGCTTTTTTCTTAAGATTTCCCCCCGATTCCTTGAGCCGCGTTTTGACTGCTTTCTTGAACGGAGTGTTGTTTTCAACATTCTCTATCACGTCAATTCCAGCGCGTAAAGCTTCTTTCCCGACTGCGCGCATTCCCCTGCTTAGATAAGGAAGTACTCTTCTAAATAATCCTCCGAGGAAATTTCCGATCCCATGACCATGCTGATATGCTGAACCGACGAAAATTCGAGGAATTTTTTCTCCCCTACCTCCATCGTTCTGCATTTCGTCCATGCGGGATTAGTTTTTTCTCAAAGCGCCGTAGACTTTCCACCGTAATTAACGGACATGTCTAAAGTGTAATGTCATTAGCGTTTCGGATACGAATGGTATTTTTTTCTCCACGATGGTCTTTTATATCTATTTCAATTTTACGGAATTTCGTTTGACGCAGTGGAGTATATTGCAAAGTGGAGAAATATTTTACCAGATTC